CAGCATAGCACTTTCACCTGTGGGTGGTTAAATGCACAATTAGAGACACTCATCTAAATGGCCTGTTATGTAAAGTTAATGCTTCTGCTTGAACACACTTCTTTTTCAGCAGGTTGTCTCTTTTCTCAAAAAGGTTATAAACAACAGGAAAGGATACTAAAGAATAGAACTGATTAATGGGACACATTTGAGTTTCTTTCTACCACTCTCTCAACAGCAAGTCACAGAGAGGCAGCTCCAAACACAGTGAATTAAATTAAAATGACACAGCTTTGGCTAGAAAATTGTTCAGTTAATTCAGCCCGCAAAGTGAAATTTGATTTCTTTCCCCTAAACTTGAGCTACTTCCTGATTTTTCATACTGTGATGATGATTTCGTGCCAAGCCGTTTATTGATTTGAGGTCCTTTATTCTCAAGATTGTTGCTGGTTTTTAATTTCTGGAGGAAAAATATATATGAAAATCAAGAATGTATTTCATGATACCAGGAAAATTATATTAAATAGTAAAATATGGTTTTAAAATGGTCACATTTGTAGTTATTCTTTTTCTACTGTAGGAGGGCTATAGGAAGTACCATTGTATGACATCTTTTGTTATTTTAGGAATTGTGTTTTGCGGAAGGTATCACTGAGAACATTCTCACACTTTCTGGTGCTGTAGAATTGTTCCAAAAGAAAATAGGTCAGCTTTTAAAACAAAGCCTAACTCACATTGCCTAAATAATTTTGTCTGCATGAAACACTGCCCACTGAGTCACACAGTTGTAGCCATGAATTTTTTTAAGAAGCAGTTTTTAGAGTTTATATTTGATATTTGCCTTTGAAAAGGTCAGAGTTTGAACCTAGACAGGAAAAGATGGTACTTGGTTGAACAAAATACCATATAGCTACCATAATTTGATACAAATTCTAACATGAGCCCTCAAGTTAAGAATAATTCCTATGTACAAGTTTCAGTTTAATATCTACATTTATAAATATAGTACAAAACATTACACTGGTGTAACATTCATGAAATATTGAAGAAAATGTTGATAATAATATTGAAAGTTTTAATATTTACAATGTGATCCCCTTCTAGGTACTTTTCATGTACTAATTTAACCCTTGTAACAATAGATACTATTATGCTATCCAATTTTTTAGGAGAAAAATAAGGCACAGAACTGTTTTTAAATATTTTGAGCAGGAATTCTCAACTTTAGCATTATTGACATTTCAGGTTAGATTATTCTTTGTTGTTTTCAAGCTGTCATGTGTATTTTATAGTATTTAGGCATGGTGTGGTAGCTCATTCCTATAATCCCAGCACTTCAGGAGGCTAAGATAGGAGTATTGCTTTTGAGGCCAAGGGTTCTAGATCAGCCTGTGCGACACAGTGAGACTGAGTTGAGACCCTGTCTCTACAAAATCATAAAAAGAGGAGGAGGAGGAAAATGAATGGTTAGCAGTGAACAATAGACATCAATAGTAGCAGATCTCACAATTCCAATTGCCATCCAGGTGGAGGAAGAAAAAGGGGCAATATTACTGCTGATGTGACAGCCATTGGTTTAAAGAATTTATTTACATATATTCACATCCTCCTCCCTCTAACAAGAATAAAACACCAAAAGGAACAACAAAACTATATTGATGTCATCAACATATTTTAAATTCCACAGAGAAAATGAGGAATAATCCTGTGACCTTGAAATTAATTTGAAATTGAGAATAAAAGTAGCTTTCCACTACTTGGAAAGATGTTGGTCCCAGGAAAAGAGCTGGTTATCTGCTTTGGAGTAAATTGGAGCAATTGACTGGCAAGACCACATAATCCAATAACTCATCATTATCAAGTCTGTTTGGATATTATCCAGCAAGATGTAGTCATGCCAAAAGGAGAATGGGCCTTTGCCTTTAAAGCTTTCTTTTAAAAAAGATACCTACATGATTATTACGCCAATTGCTAACAGTTTTCACTGACATTAAGAGTTACACTGAGGTCTCTGTTCTGTTCCATTGATCTATATATCTGATTTGGTACCAGTACCATGTTGTTTTGGTTACTGTAGTCTTGTAGCATAATTTAAAGTCAGGTAGCATGTTGCCTCCTGCTTTGTTCTTTTTGCATAGGATTGTCTTGGCTACATGGGTTTTTTTTTTGGTTCCATATGAAATTTAAAGTAGTTTTGTTTTCTAATTCTGAGAAGACCATCTGATCTTTGACAAACCAGACAAAGACAAGCAACGAGGAAAGGAATCCCTATTTAATAAATGGTCTTGGGGAAAAAATGGTTATCCATGTGCAGAAAACTGAAACTGGACCCCTTCCTTATACCTTATACAAAAATTAACTCAAGATGGATTAAAGACTGGAACATAAAACCTGAAAACATAAAATCCCTAGAAGAAAACATAGGCAGTACCCTTCAGGACATAGGAATGGGCAAAGACTTCATGACTAAAACACCAAAAGCAATGGCAACAAAAGCCACAATTGACAAATGGGATCTACTTAAAATAAAGAGCTTCTGCACAGCAAAAGAAACTATAATCAGAATGAACATGCAACCTACAGAATGGGAGAAAATTTTTGCAATCTACCTGTCTGACAAAGGGCTAATATCCAGAATCTATAAGGAACTTAACAAGAAAAAACCAACCCTATCAAAAAGTGGGTGAAGGCTACGAACAGACACTTCTCAAAAGAAAGCATTTATGCAGCCAACAAACATATGAAAAAACAGCTTATCATCACTGGTCATTAGAGAAATGCAAATCAAAACCGCAATGAGGTAGCATCTCATGTCAATTAGAATGGTGATCATTAAAAAATCAGGAAACAACAGATGCTGGAGAGGATGTGGAGAAATTGGAATGCTCTTACACTGTTGGTGGGAGTATAAATTAGTTCAACCATTGTGGAAGACAGTGTGGTAATTCCTCTAGGATCTAGAACCAGAAATACATTTGATCCAGCAATCCCATTACTTGGTATATACCCAAAGTATTATCAATCAGTCTACTACAAAAACACAGGCACATGCAAATTTATTGCAGCACTTCACTCTCACAATAGAAAGACTTGGAACCAACCAAAATGCCCATCAATGATAGACTGGATAAAGAAAATGTGGTACATATATACCATGGAATATTATGCAGCCATAAAAAGGATGAGTTCATGTCCCCTGCAGGGACATGGTTGAAGCTGGAAACCATTCTTAGCAAACTAACACAGGAACAGAAAACCAACCACCACAGGTTCTTACTCATAAGTGGAAGTTGAACAATGAGCACACAGGGACACAGTGAGAGGAACATGACATAGCGGAGCCTGTCGTCAGGTAGAGGGCTAGGGGAGGGGTAGCATTAGTAGAAATACGTAAAGTAGATGATGGGTTGATGGGTGCAGCAAACCACCATGGTACGTGTATACCTATGTAACAAACCTGCATGTTCTTCACATGTATCCCAGAACTTCAAGTATAATTTAAAAAAGAAAAGCCCACACATTATCAAATACCAGGAATGAAAGGGGAGTTAGCACTACAAATGCCACAGAGAAGAATAAAAAGTGAGAATATTATGAATAACTGTCAATAAATTCAACAATTAAAAAAATTACACTTCCAGGAAAACCAGTATTTTGAATTTCCCTTTCTAAAACAGGAGCAGCAAAATGCATGAATTCAGAAAGTCTCTCAGTTGTCTCAGAAGAATTAAAAGCTGAGTAACGTGAAACTACCTCAAATGCTATTGAAAGGTTTCTGTTTATTTAAAGTTATATTGTGAAGCATTAGCATCTGAACAAATTCTTTGTTCTTAAAGACACTTGAAAGATTTTTAAGATTAATACTTTCTATAAAAGTACATCACCCCTTGCCACAACTTTCATAAAAAATTAGTTATACTTTAGTCTGAGACAATATTAAAGGTATTCCTTTAATGTTAAGTGCTCATATCCTATTTCTGCTTTTTCTTTGAAATGAGTATTGCATCCGTGTTGCAGTTCTGAGCATTGTTTGAACAATTCTAATTTCTTTAGCCCTTAGTAGATATAACGAGATATTTTTATTTGTTTACCTTGGGTTCTCTGTTTTACCTTAGTAGTAGCCAACTCTGATGTAAGCCTTTACAAATTCCATGCAATATGTATGCTGAATTTACTGCAGCTTGTAAGTGGCAATAAAGAACAACCTTTCATGCTTGTCATTGTGTTGATGATATGACTAACTGCTAGGATTTACACACTGCTTTTTATTACAGTGATGGTTACCTTTTTTGCTATAAATGCAATAAAGCAACTAGAATGTCACAAAGAAAACTGTCACCTCTTCTCCTCCCCCACTTCGAATACACTTTTCATGTATTATGAAACCATAATGACGAGGGACAATGAGGAAAACAATACCTACTATCTGTACACTATAAAAATGAGCTTCAAGTATGACATCTTAATGAAAATGAAAAAGTGTCTTAAATGGATTATATTTCCTTGCCTTTTACCAATGAAAGATCTAATTCTTAATCTGTATTCCCTATAATAACAAGCTATATCTCAAAGATTCATCAAACTCTATGTAGTCATGTATGCTAAAGGTTATGGCTATTCTGCTTTTAAGAAGCCAAGCACAAGGACTACATAAAGCCCACTGATGCATACATTGTAGCACTCCAGGCTGTAATAAATTTCAAATCATCTGTTTCTGCCAGGTTGTTTTAAACCTCTGTATGATACTGTGTAAAGCTTCTATCTGCATTTGAGTGGTTAGGTATCTCCAAGTTGGCTGTCACCATTTCTACGTCCTCATGTAAACTAAGGTGTAATCAAGTTTTCACCAATAGGCAGATACTTCTATGAAAGATCTAAAATGTAAGTTCTGTGTCGTTAGAAAGGAAAATATTGAATTTGGTTTCTGATAAACAAATTGTGTTTCACTTGGCAGTGAGACAAAGATTAGAGAATCAGTTAGGAGTCTTTAAATTAATCTACTGAATGTGATTATTTTGCAGACCACAGATGACATCCTCGTGGCCTCAGCAGAGTGTCCCAGCGATGATGAGGACATTGACCCCTGTGAGCCGAGCTCAGGTGGGTTAGGTTAGTCGACTTTTTTTCTTACTTCCTTGGCTTTACTGTAAACCTTTGTTGCATGTTATAGTCCTTAGAAGGGCCTTACATTTATGTCTAGAAGGCTACCCTACTATACAATGGCTTATTGTAAAATGAGGACCCTTGCTTTTTACATAGATACATTTTTCCAAAGCTTTTGAAAAAAATTAAAAACAAAACACACCAAGATTATGTATTTCAGAAAAAGCAGTGGGCACAGCATACAGAGCTGCTACCTCACTGTTCACTTTCCATTAGCTCACAACATAATTTTTTGTGTATAACAGTATAATGGGCTTTCCCTTGGGTCACTCATGGTAAAATCATAAAGCTAAAAAATTGCAGTGCATTGTGCAAAATTATTTGACCTTTCTATGACAAAAAGCCCCCACCACTCACTCTGCAGCAAATTACCTTAAGTAATGTATTTCTGAATTTTGGAAGTGAGAGTATTATGGCAGTAGTAAAACAAACAGCAGGCAGAGCCCTTGATATATTTAATAGAGAAATATTTGAGTCTTGCCATGTTTCCCTAAAATTCAAGCTGAAGCATTTTACTTCTTCATGATGTTTGCATCTTCTGATGTGACGAACACATAAATTCTATTACCATGCAGCCATTATACCATTAAGTGGTGGCTTAAAATGAATGAATCTTAGCCTAAATTCATCGTAGCTTAAATACTCATAATCTCAAGTGTTAGGCTTTTTTCCATTAGGCACATTTTTTTTGTAAAGTAGTGTTTAAATTCAATAATATTCTTCGCTGGTCATGATGGTTCACTCCTGTAATCCCAGCATTTTGGGAAGATGAGGCAGGCAGATCGCTTGAGGTCAGGAGTTTGAGATCAGCCTGGCCAACACGGCAAACCCTGTCTTTGCCAAAAATACAAAAATTAGCCATGGGTAGTGATTTGCCCCTGTAATCCCAGCTACTCGGGAGGGTGAGGCAGAATTGCTTGAACCTGGGAGGCAGGGGTTGCAGTCAGCTGAGATTGCACCACTGCTCTTCAGCCTAGGCGACAAAGTGAAACTTTGTCTCAAAATAATAATAATAATAATCCTCTCATTTGCATTAACAAAATCAGTGAGGTGGATATGGACTAACCACTCTCTGCCAGTGGTGTCACCTCTATTGACGTCAGCTAGAATCCCAGGAGAATTTCATGTCACAAGAAAGTAACGAATTTGCATTCATGTGAAGAGTACCATTTTAGAGTAAATCTGCTCTTTAGAGTAAATTGGGATGTGTATTGTGCATCTTGTTTTGAGTATCACTTCCCCCACTGATTGTAACTACTGACTCTAGCATGTAGAGAGCAGCTGCTGAGGCCCAGGGAATGGGACGAGCTCGGCAGTCACCTGGCAACAGGAGAGGGCGCCGGAGTCCAGGCTGGATTTGCTCTGGTCCTCTTTCCTCTAGGCTCCACAGTGCCAATCAGGACACTCAGCCCCCAGAAACATCTGTCATTCACAGTGATCGGCTCTCTCAGAATCATCCATTCAATTCCCTCAGCTCGTTGACCTCTGCAATCATTCCCTCTTGGTTGTCGTGAAAGATATAGTCACATTGTGGCACTATCCTAGACCCCTTTGCTAAGATCTTGCCTTTGTTTTCATTGGGATGCTTAATCTCTCTGTTGGTTAGCAACATTAAAAGAAAGTCATTGCTGTTGCTTTTCTGTCATTATATCAGTCCCATCTCTCTGGCTTTCCCACCCTCAAATTTCCCTTCCCCATTTCTTCTGTGCTCACATGCCCAACATTCCTGGTGTTCATCTTTTGCATCAGGACATTCTTTTTTCTATCTCATTTTCTCTGAGATCCTCTAGCATGGATTGTCCATGTAACAAAGTCTAGTCTTTGTACATTGGGGTGTGTGTTAGTGTAACTGATTTTGTTTTCCCTGTTAGTGTTTTTTTGAGGGTAGTCAATTTTTTCAGTATTTAACACAGTATTAATATAGCGATGAAAAGTGTTGAAGTTCTTCGTAATTATAGGACTTGCTGAATCCCTCTTTTACTAAGTATAGGCTATCATATTCTTCTTGCAGAATTTCTACCTTGAGTACTTAGTGAATCATGGTAACTAATTACACTTAAAATTGTCACTTTTTCTTTTCTTCTTGAGCTCAGCTGAATGATCCAGTTCTTTGAGCCATTGCTTACAGATCTGATTAACCATTCCTCATAAACTAGTTTACTGTCTTTTGCTGTGGTGACACTAGACCTAAGAACAAGATAGTGGAGGAAGAAGATAGGCGAGAGGAGAGAAAATAAGGGGTGAACCATTTTGTCATCATCTTCTCATTGTTGTTCACCTGACTTCGTCTGCTTTATTAAATATAACACAATGGCACAATGGAAAGTGATAAGAGCTTATTAATAGCCATACTGCAGGGAATCTTTCTGCCTTCGTTTTCTTTACCACACTATCACTATCTGAGAGAATCATGTTTACTTATCTATTTGTTATTCATTCATTAATGTATAGCTTGAATCTCCCCACATGAAGGTAAACTCCATGAAGCAGAAACCCTGTTTGTCTTGCTGCCTGCATGGACTTGTTCCGTAAATTTTAATTCTTTTCTACTGCACCCAAGTCTGTTGCCCAAAATACAAAACACACCAGCTACTGACTCTATCTAATGATAGCTACTTTAACACTCTTGTAGCAAGTCTGCTTTAGTTTTTGTCCTCTCCTTCAGTGTGTCCCTCCTCACTCCTTGGTTTTCAAATTCATCAATCCCTGTTAAGAACTTCAGATTCTTTTGTGTTAATGGGATCACTGTAAAACTGTCCTGTGATCTTATGTCCCCTGGTCTTGATAATGTGTGCCAAGCTTGTTTCTCTGTCAATTTCTGAAGTTAAATCTCTTTCTCCATTTGCTTTTTCTGTCCAATTCCTCATTTTTTTCATGCCTGTCTTTAATGCTTCCTATGGAGGTGGGTCTTTTTGCGGAAATTGGTTCTATTTATGTGACAGCTTCTAATAAAATTCTTAATTTATACAATGCTTTTCTATTTTGCAACCTTTTTCTTGGAAGACGGGTTGTGTTTTTCTTTTCGTTTTTGTTTTGAATCCTGTTTAAATCTGAAGAATGTTTCATTGCAGTCTGCCCCTCCTGCAGGTCATGGTTTCCTAATGTACCGGTTTTCTTACATCTCTTTTTCCTGCTTGTAACATAGGCAACAATCGTAGCTGCTGCTGTTATTAGACATTGGATAATTGTAGCTGCTGCTATTAGATGTTAGAAATGTCTTAATAAAAATTATTTAGCATGTTAGTAGGCTATATTTTGGGATACTGGCTTTTTATAAAACTAACATACTGAGGTAAATATTCTGAAACAGACACATCTTCTATGCACATTTGCTAGTCCTTGGGCAAGTGAAAGCAAATCTTTGTAAGGAGATGCAGCGCTACCTTTATAGGTGTGTTGCCCATATCTTCTGGGTACCTCATTCTTCCTAAGAATTTACTTAAGATTTCTAATCACCCTGACCACCCCACCTGCAAAAACATGGCTTTCTCTCTGAAAATGTGACATGTTCCTTACTTTAGTACCTTCCTAAAGCTATTGATGGAACAAACAGGAAAAATTTAGCATCTTCTTGAGTACTAGTAAATTATTCCTTTTTATCAAATGTTCAATAAATGAGAATTACCTTGTGGTTCCACTCAGAACTCTTATTGAACAGGGAAGTTATATATTTTGTGGATTGTCCCTTCATCAGTGATCAAGTATTGAGTGTCACTATAAACCCACTGCTTTGCTAAGCTCTGGGAGCAAAAATATAAAGTGTTTACATTCAGTTCTATATTAATGAATATATTGAAGGCATCTATTGCGATGTCTGGCATAAAGTAGAACATAAATGGTGGTTTTTCCACCGATTCATTTATACAAAAAGAATATTCCAAACGACTTTCCCTTTTACATAATCCTGTTACTTTTCCTGGCTGAAAATGGTGGGCAACTGATGAAACTACTCAGGCATTCTGATAGGAACTGTACATGTTAAAACTAGATCAGGATCAACCTCCTGGGTGGGAACACATGGAACTCAATTATACTTGATTACAGCCACACTGTCCTGCACGGTTAGTACTGGATGATAGCTTTACATTCATATAATCAGTTTTAGACTATAAAAGGAGGGCTTCAGAATGCAAAGTATTGGCTATGTGATCAAAGAGGGCTAATTGAACCCCAGTTCTTAGTGGACAGGTAGAAATCTGAAACAGCTATTGCTAACAAGGTTATATGTCACTGTTGGCCTAAAGTGCCCAGTTTAAGAAGCTTAGACATGTGAGAGATAGGTAACTCTTTTTTCACAAATTTTATCAGAAAAACAATTGCACCTTCTGTGATTTTTTTCTGAGCCTAGATATGTATTGCTGGAGTTAATATACGAACAATATGTTGTAGAAAAATGTTTTGCTCAAGATAAGTGTTATGACTGGGTGTGGGTAGCTCACACCTATAATCCCAGCACTTTGGGAGGCCAAGGCAGGCGGATCGCCTGAGGTCAGGAGTTCAAGACCAGCCTGGCCAACATGTTGCCAAACCATTTCTACTAAAAATACAAAAAATTAGCTGGGCATGGTCGAGGGTACCTGTAATCCCCATCTACTCAGGAGGCTAAGGCAGGAGAATCACCTGAACCTGGGAGGCAGAGGTTGCAGTGAGCTTAGATTGTGCAATTGCACTCCAGCCTGGGCAACAAGAGCAAAACTCCATCTAAAAAAAANCAGAGTGTTATATGAGTGTTTGCTGTTATTACTATTTGTATTACTTATGTATGTATATAAACACACACACATATTTTCCAAAACTTCTTTTTTCACATGAATGTAAGTTTTTGTAAATCATGTCTTTGAAATTTTACATTTTAGATACATTTAGTAAACTGACAAAATGCAAGACTGGAAAGTCACTTAAGTTCCAAGAAGGCCTTTAATCATGTCAGTATCTCGTAGTTTGGG